GAGTCAGACAGGCAGTTAGTGAAATAAATTGATGTTGAAATTGAAAATGCAGTAAAGTAGAGAATTGAGGTAAGGAGAGAGTGAGACAGCTGAAGATGGACTGAGATACTGAGGTGGAGAGTAAGACAGCAAAAGTGATAGTAAGGTAACGAGTGAAGCACGTAGGGAGAGAGTGAGACAGCCAAAACAGATTGAGATACTGAGATAGAGAGTGAGACAAGTAGTGAAATTGTGAGGTAGAGAGTGAGACAGGCAGATAAATTGTGAGGTAGAGAGTGAGACAGGCAGAGAGATTGTGAGGTAGAGAGTGAGACAGTCAGAAAGATTGTGAGGTAGAGAGTGAGACAGGCAGAAAGTTTGTGAGGTAGAGAGTAAGACAGGCAGAAAGATTGTGAGGTAGAGAGTAAAACAGGCAGAAAGATTGTGAGGCAGAGAGTGAGACAGGCAGAGAGATTGTGAGGTAGAGAGTGAGACAGGCAGAGCAATTGTGAGGTAGAGAATGAGACAGGCAGAAAGATTGTGAGGTAGAGAGTGAGACAGGCAGAGAGGGTGAGGTAGAGAGTGAGACAGGTAGAAATATTGTGAGGTAGAGAGTGAGACAGGCAGAAAGATTTTGAGGTAGAGAGTGAGACGGGCAGAGAGATTGTGAGGTAGAGAATGAGACAGGCCGAGAGAGTGAGGTAGAGAGTGAGAATGAGACAGGCAGAGAGATTATGAGGTAAAGAGTGAGACGGGCAGAGTGATTGTGAGGTAGAGAATGAGACAGGAAGAGAGATAGTGAGATTGAGAGTAAGATAGGCAGAGAGAATTTGGTAAGATCTGCAATGATAGGATGAACATGAGAGATTGTGATAGTTACAGAGAGAGTGAGACAGCCAGAGATAGACTGAGATGGTGAGTATGGTGAGACATTTAGTGAGAGTGTGAGATAGTAATAAATATCCTAAGATAGTGAAGAATTGAATTGAATTGAGATACCAAAGCAGAGAGTAAGACTGCATTAAAAGAAGAAGAAAATTAGAGACTGGTGAGAGACTGAGATAAGTAGAGGGTGAGGATAGGAGAGAGTTTGAGACAGTTGAATAGAGAGTGAGACAGACAGGGAGAATGGTATACAGGCAGAGAGATAGATAGGCTGAGCGAATGAGAAAGAAAGAATGAGAGATAAAAGGTGAGACAGGTAGAAAGATTGTGGCATGCAGAGACAGAAAGAGTATGAGATAGGGAGAGATAGTAAAGGAGAGTATCAGACAGGTTGAGAAAGAAGAATAGAGTGAGACAGGCAGAGAGAGAATGAGAAAAACTGTGAGAGAGAAAGAGTTAGACAGGCAGACCAATTGAGACAGACAAAAGAATGAGACAGAGAGAGTGAGACAGGCATTAAGAGCATCAGACAGACAGAGAGAAAGCATATCCACTTGAGTGGAATAGTGTGTTAGCAAGTTAGTATAAGAAGAATGAAACAGTAAAGGAATGCACAATGGAAGTCATACATGAGAGTTAACACGGCACCTCCATATGAACCTCCTCTTGTGGCTGCCGTCTCTGATGACTCACAATCTCACACAATCTCAGCCCATCTTTACTGCCACTGTGAAGAACAGACGACACAGACACACAGGAGCGAGAGATAAAGCACAAGATCCTGCAATCAGCCAGAGACTGCGTGTTACAAAGAGCTTCGTCTCTCCCGCGTTTCCTGCGACACCTCTGGAGTTCAGCAGACTAAGCGCTCCTCTCTCTTCTGCTTGCGATAAAAGTTTCTTGGCAGAACTAGAAAGGACGCGGATCGGGAAGCGATTCAGCTGACAAACTGCACACAGGCCTCGGAGCGAACAGACCAAAATAAGCTCCACAGGCACGAAAAAGAAACAACAGCCGCCCAATACAAAGAGGAAAGACAGAGAGAGATCTGCTTTCTTTCAGCTGTCACTCAGATTGTCGCTGAATCATGCCAGCTCGACATGAAAGCTCTGAATGCTGTCAGGATTCTGCTGCTTTTCTGCCTGCGCATTTGTTAACTTTTTTAACCTGTTGAGGTGCGAGTAATTCCTACAGACTTGGGTCTCAATGCTTGCTTCTCTTTCTGTCTGAGTCTTGAGAAGCGCGTCTACATCATTTCCTCAGGGCTTCAGTGATTGAATGACTGAAATGAAATGCACACACAAAGTTAAACTGATTTTGTTAAAGTACCAATTAGATTTGTCAGCCAGTTCCTTTAATCTACTCACAGAAAATCATTTTGTGGCACTTTCTATGAAGGCTGTATATATTACATTACAAACTGTATTATATTATCACAAATAAATATTATTTATGAAAAGTTATAATAACTATTTATGGCTATGCCTGTAAAAAACTACAATTAATTAGCACATAAAACAGTACAGCAAATTTGTTGTTGGTCTTGTGCTGTAACACATAACACTATTTAAAATGTGACCTGGAATAGGTAAATATTAAAATGCATTATAATTGACAATTATTATAATACTGCAATTATTTACAATAACATGCAATGGATTATTATGTCCATTATAATGTATTATAATCCTTATATGTATTATAATGCAGAAGGCAGTAATCAATAGAAATGGAATCCTTTTTTTTTATTTTTTTGGCTTAGTTATTTTTATTTTTATTTTTGTAAATAAAGATTATTGTAGTATGTTTCACAAGAAAATACTATTTCAGTCTTTCTACTTCAAAATTTCACATTCAATACAATGTGTTAATTTGTTTTTTTTGTAAATAAAAATAATTGTAAAAATTTTTTTTAATGTAGTATGTATCTAAAAGCATTATTATGTTATTTAATATTTAAAATATTTAAAGGGTTAGTTCACCCAAAAATGAAAATGCTGTCATTAATTACTCACCCTCATGTCGTTTTAAACCCGTAAGACTTTCGTTTATCTTCGGAACACAAATTAAGATATTTTTGATGGAATCTGAGAGCTATCTGAACCTGCATAGACAGCAATACAACTGAAATGTTCCCAAGTCCAGAGACGTAGCAAGGAGATCAGTAAAATACACTGTAAAAAATGATTGTGATTTTAACAGTAAAAGACTGTAAAAATGCTACAGTAAAACCTGTTAACTGGTTAACAGTAAGTTTCCATACTATATTCAGTGAATAAATGTAATTACATTTAGTGTTTTTGGAAGTGAAAAAGAAAAAGTCATTGTATAATTTACAGTGAAAAACCGTAAATTGACACTCCCAGAATTCCCTGCATGACGCATCATATTTGATGTTTTTTTGTTGAAATAACATGTTTTTTCTTAGTTTTTTCTTATCAGTTGTGTACATTAGGGTTTAATCTTACATCTAATGTTGTTAAATTAATGTTTATTGCATTATTTCAGTATCGTGTGTCACCATGATGGGGTTTAGTGTTTGTGTGAATGACATTGTGCACCTTCTATATAAAAGTATTGCCCTCCTCAGCTCGTAGAAAAGCTGTTTGTGATGAGCTTCTGTTCATCATGTGACTTTCTCATCACCACCAGTTTTTGGTGGTTGTCAGTGCATTACAATGGTTCAAAACAGATATTAACACTTCAGTATTTTGGATTATTAACATTACATCAGTTAATGAAATACGGTATTTTATTGTGAATTTAAGTTAAGTCTGTAAAACCTCAAATGTTGCTACCGTATTATTTACAGTGAAGTTCTGGCAACCACAGCTGCCGGTATTTTACCGTAAATGTCACAGATTTTTTTTACAGTGTAGTCCATGTGACATCAGGGGTTCAACCGTAATTTTACGAAGCTACGAGAATAATTTTTGTGCGCAAAAGAAAAAAATAACGACTTTATTTAACAATTCGTCTCCTCCGCGTCACCCTGTAGCGCCATTTTGGAGAGTATCCGCTGGCCGTAAACAGCATATGCTGTTCTGTGTCAGCTGCGTCACACGGATACGCTGTTTTCGTTCAGATCAAATCACAACAATGTAGGAAACAGATCCGGAGTGACACAGCTGACACAGAACAGCATACGCTGTTTACGTCCAGCTGATACTCTCCAAAATGGCACTACAGGGTGATACGGAGGAGACGAATTGTTGAATAAAGTCGTTATTTTTTTTACTTTTGCGCACAAAAAGTATTCTCGTAGCTTCGTAAAATTACGGTTGAACCCCTGATGTCACATGGACTATTTTACCGATCTCCTTGCTATGTCTCTGGACTTTGGAAAATTTCAGTTGTATTGCTGTCTATGCGGGGTCAGACAGCTCTCAGATTCCATCAAAAATATCTTAATTTGTGTTCCGAAGATGAACGAAGGTCTTACGGGTTTGAAACGACATGAGGGTGAGTAATTAATGAAACAATGAAACAACAATTTTATGTTGACATTTTTGTCGACATTTTTGGGTGAGCTATCCCTTTAATAACTAAACATGCAGGCAGCAGGTCATATGTTGAATTTTTAAATGATGACTGTTCAAATTTGATGTAAATGGAGTTTGAATAATATTGTAGAGTTACTGCTGTAGTCAGGGAACTTTTTTTTTTTTTACATTTCGATTTAGGGAGGATTGCATGAGGATTGCAGAGACACTGAGACTAGTTTTATACATGCACGCTTGCCGCTCTGACATATATCATACTGAGGATCAAATGCAAGCGTCCTATGAGTGACAGATGGCTTCTCAGTCAGTCAACATCAATCAGTCATGCAATCAATAAAAATGACTATAGTCTGTCTGGGTTTTTTTTTTTTTTCTGGGACAAAATAAACTACTTTATCTTGCGGCCTCTCCCTGTCTGTACCAGGTTTAACAGATCAATATTATACATTTTAGATGTAGCATTTTGTTTCATTTTAAATCATTTGTGCTCTTACCATGAAACAGCAGTAGAAGAGTCACCTTTGCAAAGTCCTCAAGCTTTTCTTTTTCTGGCTACCTTTCTCTTCTCGTTTACCTACACTGTTTACACTCTTTCTTTCCCTGTCTTTCTCTATTGCTCTCTTTCTCTCTCAGCCATGAATCTGTTGGGGCTGAACTGGCAGCTGAAACCTGTGGTTGGTCCCATGCTGAACAACGGCTTGGGAGCCGGGCTGCCCAGCAACAGTGACACAGCAACAGCGCCCTCTGGAAGCAGAGGTGAGCAGCACAGCCTCACAGCACGCTGCAGTCCCGCACGCTCTTTTCCGATGAGAAGAATGTCAGGATTGTAACAGAATAACACAAAGGGTGGGGAGGGGGACTATAAACTAAATTTAGAAAAAAAATCAGTTGTGCTGAAACATCCACTGCCCTGTATATCAATTTGTTTCCAGCTTGTACTCATTTTTGATTTGTGTTTAGTAATTTGCTTCTCTGTCGCACACTGAGGTCCCATCATGACAGCACATTTATGCCCACACACACTTGTCTGCCTGCTTCCACGATCGACAAGGGATATTATTCTCTGGGCTTCATTTTATATAGCCGTGTGACAATTCATAAGAAACAAAGTAACCATGTGATTAGGTAGAGCAGCAAGGCATTGTGGGACAGTAGTGCTGGGGAGTTGAGAGTGAAAAAGTGAGAAACATGTCAAATGTCACATTGCGCTTCCTAACCCTGGGTCATTTTAAAACCGTCTTTTAACCATGGGTAAAGGAATGTTTCACACATGTTACTTGGATTGCTGTGCAGTCTTCGAATGTTACGACTAGATGCTTTGTATCCGTGTTTCGTTGTATTGCATGCTTTGGACAGTCACAGAAACACTGAACATTGTATAAACAGTAGTTTCATTGATTGAGAAGAAAAAAAGGTGAAATGATGGAAAATGCATCAATTGGAGTGAAAAAGTGGCCATTTTATTCTCACATTTATAGTTCAAAAAGGAAAAACTTAATAATACAAGGCAATATATAATATGAGGATGTGCAATAGTAGTGCCTTTATGTAAACAGGTTGCATACTGCATTCATTTATTGAAATTAGAACGTTAACCCGGGGTTTGTGAATGTACGGTTTGAAACTTCAGTTTATGATTACCCAGGATTAATTTTTAACCCCAGGTTTATGAGTAGTGTGAAACGTGAAGCAAGACAACCCAGGATTCCTTTTATCTGGGGGTTTAGAATGACCAAAAATTAACTATTTCTTGTGTGAAAAGCTCTAGATAGTAGTACACCTTTAACTCTGTGAATAGTGGTAATAAAAGTCAGACACAATATCTTGCATTTTTAATCCAATTTTGTTTACAAGCACAATTCCCTGGTGGTTCAATCAAAATTAATAATTCAAGACAAAGATGTTAAAAACACAACTAATACTATTTTGGAGACAGAAGGTCAAGTCATTTACATTGCAATGTGGGATACTGTATCCTGCGCAGTGTGCTACTGTATTTTCTTTATTGAAAATTTGCCAAAAGTATACTTGATCATCAAGGTATTACATGCATAACAATTTGAGTAGGCTATGGTAGTAATCCTACATAATTAGCACATCTTCATAATCTACTGACAATTCAGATTTTTCCAATCAGGAATCAAACTTTCGAATAAAATTGATGAAGATTGTAAACAAGCACTCGTGTACTTCTATACTTACACAACCCTTTGGCTGTTCACCCATCTCTCGTCTCTGACTTGATCTCACGCACTCACAGATTCAAAGGAAGTGTCCTAGAAAACACCACATCACCTCTGTATGAAGGACAACACAGTCTGGTTTTTTTCTTCTTCTTTAGAACAGGAAGGGACTAGTCATCTTTAAACACACACACTTAAAACCTAGTGGCAGAGGCAGCAAGTCATCAAGTAGGCTACTTAATACACTTCATTTTGAGCAAATTTTAAGTCAGCGTCACATATAACTTTTACAGATAAATAAATAAATACATTTTAAAAAGGGCAATCCCAGAATGCATTGCAAGGAGCTCAGTGAAACACAACATCCAAGATGGCGGACAAGGAAAGAGGAAAAAAAAGTTCAGTGTACTTTAAATCTGATTTTTTTTTCCCCCTACATTTGCTTGTTTTGGGTATTATGTTCATTATAATACAGCTGTGTTTGCTTAGTAACTTGCTAACATCATGCTCCATTGAAATCAATTGCAAATCAAGTCTCCCATGCAAAGCTCAGTTTGTTTGGCACACAGAGTTGCTGCCTACACTCTTAAAAATAAAGGTGCTTCATGATGCCATAGAAGAACCTTTTTGTCTAAATGGTTCTATAAAGAACTTTTAACATCTGAAGAACCTTTCTGTTTCACAAAAGGTTCTTTGTGGTGAAAGAAGGTTCTTCAGATTGTAAAAAGATAAGCAAGAGATGGGAGCCTTTGACTGAATGGTTCTTTGTGGAACCAAAAATGGTTCTTCTATGGCATCGCTTGAAGAACCTTTTGAAGCACCTTTATTTTTAAGAGTGTACGTAGCGCCCTCCAAATTAGTGAGGGTAGAAGCTTAGGATGCTGTCTTAGAAGGCAAAACCTAGGTTATTTATTGCTATTTGAAACAGAGTAAATACATTTTCACATTGTCTAATTGTTCATTTCCTCTATCCTCAGTGCTGTGTAAACATATCTAACTCTGTGAATACATATAGATTATGTGGCATAATATTTTGCTGTGTTTTTGTGTGAGTGTGTGGGTAACGGTGAGATTGTGCGCTTTGAAACAGCTCTTCATCTCAAGTGTTTCAATCTCAACCCCTCAGCATGTCGGTGTCAATTCCATCCATACAAATATGACTTTTCTCTCGCTCTCTCCCTGTCGCTCTCTCTTTCTCTCACATGCAAACATAATGTATTCTACATAACAGTGAGATTTCATAAATCATACACAGACAATTCTACAGTACAGCTATGAGGCAGATGTTGCTGGTTGCTCTGTTTAACGATAGCGCCACATATAATAAGTCTTGTGTTGTGCCATGTCTGGTTGTTGTTGTTGCTTTTTCTTCTCTGTCTCTCTCATCCTCTGCTGCGTCTTTTTGTATAGCTGTTATCCTATCTTATTGTCTGGCATATTGTGTTGAGATGCTCTTATCTGGGCTTCTGCGGGATGATTTGATGCTCTGGTCTGATCTGTGAAATGATTTGTGTGTGCTTTTGCCTGCTGGCTACATTAGCTTATGATTGGCCTCTCTGCACTCGGCTGGATTCTGTTACGGTACTTGATGCTGTGCTTAGACACTCAGATTCAGATGTGCTTTATCTCCACGATAGCTCTGGTCCAAAACCTACAGTAGTGAGCTGCCTCTGTGGGGAACTGTGTGTGTGTGTGTGTGTCTTCCAGTTCATTACAATTCTCATTATATTCTGTTTACATTACATTACTTACTATAAACACAGCAAGTATTGCTTTTTTTCTGTTTTTGTTTAATTTTCACTACTGTTCAAAAGTTTGGGTTCAGTAAGACATACATTGATTGATTGATTGATTGAAATACGTCTCTTCTGCTCACTAAGGCTGTTTATTTGATCAAAAATACAGTAAAAAGAGTAATATTGTAAAATAGTTTTACGTTTTAAAAATGTTTTTATTTTAATATATTTTAAAATGTAATTTATTCTTGTGATGCAAAGCTGAATTTTCAGCATCATTACTCCAGTCTTCAGTGTCACATGATCCTTCAGAAATCATTCTAATATTCTGATTTGGTGCTCAAGAAACATTTCTTATTATTATACATTTTAAAAATAGTTGTGCTGCGTATAGGGGCGCCATAACAGGGGGGAAGGTTAGGATGATTCCAAGGGCCTGACAATGGTGAGGGGGTCAGGAACGCGATTTTTACAGAGGGGGCTCCTGGCTGCATAATGTAGAAACCACTTTTTTTTCCAGGATTGCTTGATGAACAGCATTTATATGAAATCAAATCAGTCACTTTTAATCAGTTGTCCTAAATAAAAGAATTATTTATTTAATTAACATTAACTGGTTTGGTATATATAAGCACATTATATATTTAATTGTTTGCATTTTATTTTATGTATTTCTAAGAACTTAATTTTGCTGCCTACAAAAACATCAAATTTTGCAAAATAAATTTGTATTATAAATATATCTTATTAAATACTAGAAATATAGATAAATTAACAGTTAATATAGCTAAAATAATGAATATAGCTAAATTAATAAATAAATGATAACTGCTGAATAAATAAAATTGGCTTTTTTTTTTTTTTTTACAAATTTGGGGACGCTAATGCATATTTATATGTATTTGTATTTTATGTTTTGTATGACACTTCCTATGTAGAGTGTTCCAAATAAATCAGATATGACATTCTGCCCAAGTGTTTTGTTGCCTTAGTTATATATAATGTTATCTTAGAAGGTAGCTGTCTATGTAGTCAGCAAGGTGGTTCACTATGTTTTGGTACGGAGCTATTGTGTTTTGTTATGAAATAATGCTGGACTATTGCTTCAGCCACAGCCACAGACTGATCGTTCCTTCCCTAAGGAAATTCTCGTCCGGCATCCTCAGCTCTCTATTTTTCTTTCTTTAGTTCCATTTCTCCTCTGTCCGTGCTGTTCTGTATTAATGAGGGGGGCTATTTCATCTCCTGTTGCGGCTGCTCCGTCCTGATTGTGTTTTCATTGTTCTTTATTTCCTTACCATTTTTCACAGGTTTTCTCTGACAGGGCTGTGGTCTCCAGTGTAGATCTGACCTGATTACAGGGGAGCTGTTTTCGTGTGTGTGTGTGTGAGAACATCACAACCGTGGGGACAGAGGGAATCTGTTGCACGCAACCTCCATTTACACGCGGCCATTGCCGCTAGCTACGAGCAAGAGATAGAGATAAAATAAAAGATAGAGAGAGAACGACAGAGAGGGAGAGAGCAACCATGGATTTTCCATTAAATGAAAAGTGGATAACAGCTTGTGTGATTATGTTGGTAAACAGGATGGTGGTGTTGACATGCGGTATGAGCCAAAGCCTGAGGGTGGAGAATACACGAACTCTCACTTATAGAAGAGGTCTCTCCGTCAGCCTGAGAGTCCACAAACACCAGAGACAGGAAAAAAGAGGGGGAGGAGGAAGTGAGGTAGAGGATAAGTGAGAAATCAACAGGTTCCAATTTCACTTTTAAAAATAGGTTCCTCGCAGCACCCTAAAGGAACAAATAACCTATAAGGACCCACTTATGTTGTAGAATATATATATATACACTTTTTAAAAGTTTGGGGTCAGTAAGAAGCAAACACATTAAGTTGATCTAATATGACAGTAAATGCATTTATAATGTTACAACAACAAGAACAATGAAAACTAATTAAATGAATGCTGTTATTTTGAACTTTCTATCATCAAATAATCCTGGTATCAAGGTTTTCATAAAAATATTAATCAGCATTCCAACATTGATAATAATAAGAAATGTTCTTGAGCAGCAAATCAGCATATTAAAATGATTTCAATAGGATCACTGAAGCCAGGAGTAATGATGCTGAAAATTCAGCTTTGTATCACAGGATTAAATTACCTTTTAAAATGTATTAAAATTGAAAAGAGTTATTTTAAATTATAATAGTATTTCACTATATTGCTGTTTTTACTATATTTTTGATCAAATAAAGCAGCAATGAGAGACTTCTGTCAAAAACATTTGACTAAAAATCTTGACCCAAAATTATTGGAAATATGAAAGTAAACTGCTTCATAAACACTGTTTCATGTCGACATTAAGAGTGTAGGTCTGAAAACCAAATCTCAGTCAGAATCATAGATCACACTTTAAGACTTATATCATATGACAATTCCAATAAAGCTCAGCTTCGTAGAAGCAGCCATTAACTTTTCATCTGTATATGTTATTCCTCAGTTCTTCTGCAAGCTGCATTTGAAAAACCAGGCTCAGATATTCAACAAAGAAGCCCCTATTCCCTGTCTCTCTCTGGCTCTCTGCTGTTTATCATGATACACTCTCTGCTTTCTTTGCTCTGGGTGGGTACAGTGAGGTTATGGGTAAAAAGACTTCAGGAATAGCATTTGTGTTTTCAGCTTCCATCAGATAAGTGTCTCCCAGAGAGAAAACACATTTGTGCTCTTTCCTTTTGTTTTCTGATTTCAAAACCGCTACCTCTGAATCTATAAACATGGGGCAGTTGCAACACAGCCGAGGTGAGAGATTGATTTTTTTTTATGCCTTCCTCTCTGTCTCAGGGCCATGGGCCGCTCGCAACAGCAGCATAGATATGGGCAGCCTAGAGGTGGGCAGGCGCGTGACCCAGGAGGTGCCGCCCGGGGTGTTCTGGAGATCCCTGATGCACCTCAGCCAGCCTCAGTTCCTCAAGTTCAACATCTCCTTGGGCAAGGATGCACTCTTCGGGGTTTACATTCGCAAAGGGCTGCCGCCGTCCCATGCACAGGTGCGCACACCCTTTCTATTTACAGAGAGGCCACTCTGTGAAGTCCTTTTTAGGGATAAAAAACCCCTCTTTCACCCCAACAACGGATCAATCAGTCACTGCAAATACATTTTAGAAGTCACCAGGTGTTAGATAAAATCATTCCTACAGCTCATCTTCAAAGTATCTCACTGTTTGATATGTATGAATGCTGTCAAACCACTAGAGATCACAAAAAATAAAAACATCCCCTCTCGTTCCCTTGTTTCTGCGTTTCTCCCTCTGCAGTATGACTATATGGAGCGTTTGGATGGAAAAGAGAAATGGAGCGTAGTGGAGTCGCCCCGTGAGAGACGCAGTATTCAGACGGTGGTTCTGAACGAGGCCGTGTTTGTACAGTATCTGGACCCTGGCACATGGCACCTGGCTTTCTACAACGACGGCAAGGAGAAGGAATCTGTCTCATTTAGCACAGCTGTTCTGGGTCAGTTCTACTGTACATTTACTTCAAACACTCACTATATCACTCAACAGTGACATTTTTTATTTGAGATGAGAAGATACAATACATTTGCTGTGATAAGCAAGCATAACCATTTTTTTAAACCCTATTCCCTGTCTCTCTCTGGCTCTCTGCTGTTTATCATGATACACTCTCTGCTTTCTTTGCTCTGGGTGGGTACAGTGAGGTTATGGGTAAAAAGACTTCAGGAATAGCATTTGTGTTTTCAGCTTCCATCAGATAAGTGTCTCCCAGAGAGAAAACACATTTGTGCTCTTTCCTTTTGTTTTCTGATTTCAAAACAGCTACCTCTGAATCTATAAACATGGGGCAGTTGCAACACAGCCGAGGTGAGAGATTGATTTTTTTTTATGCCTTCCTCTCTGTCCCAGGGCCATGGGCCGCTCGCAACAGCAGCATAGATATGGGCAGCCTAGAGGTGGGCAGGCGCGTGACCCAGGAGGTGCCGCCCGGGGTGTTCTGGAGATCCCTGATGCACCTCAGCCAGCCTCAGTTCCTCAAGTTCAACATCTCCTTGGGCAAGGATGCACTCTTCGGGGTTTACATTCGCAAAGGGCTGCCGCCGTCCCATGCACAGGTGCGCACACCCTTTCTATTTACAGAGAGGCCACTCTGTGAAGTCCTTTTTAGGGATAAAAAACCCCTCTTTCATCCCAACAACGGATCAATCAGTCACTGCAAATACATTTTAGAAGTCACCAGGTGTTAGATAAAATCATTCCTACAGCTCAACTTCAAAGTATCTCACTGTTTGATATGTATGAATGCTGTCAAACCACTAGAGATCACAAAAAATAAAAACATCCCCTCTCGTTCCCTTGTTTCTGCGTTTCTCCCTCTGCAGTATGACTATATGGAGCGTTTGGATGGAAAAGAGAAATGGAGCGTAGTGGAGTCGCCCCGTGAGAGACGCAGTATTCAGACGGTGGTTCTGAACGAGGCCGTGTTTGTACAGTATCTGGACCCCGGCACATGGCACCTAGCTTTCTACAATGACGGCAAGGAGAAGGAATCAGTCTCCTTTAGTACAGCTGTTCTGGGTCAGTTACTCTAACACTGGTTAAACTCTCCATTATACATTTACTTCAAACACTCACTATATCACCCAACTGTGACATTTTTATTTGAAATGAGAAGATACAATACATTTGTTGTGATAAGCAAGCATGTAAATATATATATTTTTATATAAAAAGTGCTTTACAACAAAATATTATGCCAAAAATATTATGCCAAAATATTATGCCAAAAATAAGCAGCAAATCTGATCAACATTGATAATGATAATACAAATTTCATCAGCACCAAATCAGCATATTAGAATGATTTCTGAAATATCATGTGACCTTGAAGACTGGTGTAATGGCTGCTGAAAATTCAACTTTGCCATCACAGGGGATAAATTACATTAAAATATATTAAAATGGAACACTGTAATTTTGCATTGTAATAATATTTCAAAATATTATTTTTTTACTGTCGTTTTAATCAGATAAATGCAGCATCGGTAAGCATAAGAGACTTCTTCATACTAATCATACCAAACCCAAACTTTTGAAGGGTAGGCTGAAAATTCAACTTTGCCATCACAGGAATAAATTACATTAAAATATATTAAAATGGAACACTGTAATTTTGCATTGTAATAATATTTCAAAATATAATTTTTTTACTGTAGTTTTAATCAGATAAATGCAGCATCGGTAAGCATAAGAGACTTCTTCATACTAATCATACCAAACCCAAACTTTTGAAGGGTAGTTAAAAAAATTAAGCATAAATAAAAAAAGAAATATATATATATATATATAAGAGCATAAAATGCAACGTCCTTGCATTGTGACATTGAATGGCACATGCTTTTTTGTATTTCAAACTTTCAAACAAAGGTCTAATAAAAGACCAGTTAATTTTGAAACATTAATATTTTGGACAATTGGATTTATAGGTTTTAGTCTCTATAGAATTACAGATAAATGCTTCTAGTAAAAAGGAAATAATTAAATAATGTCAATCTATTACTGTTATACCATTTCATATATATTATTATCCACTTGAAATGAGATAAGCACCTCGTGGCTCTGTTCTATGAATATTCACATGCATGAATTCTACGAATAAGTGGTGTCTCACCAATTAACCTTGCACTAATCTACTGTGATATGCCCTACTTTCATTGCCGTGATATTACTCATGGCTAATGAAATGGTGTGAGACGCTGTTTGAATGGGTTGTATCAATAATGACCAGAGACCGCCACTCAGAAATAGAGTGAAAGAGGAACAGAAAACTCTGAGAGAGAGAGAGAGAGAGGGAGAGGGAGGGAGGAAGCAGTAAAAGAGAAGACAAGATGAGAGCTGGATGTGGTGGTTACAGCTGTCATTACCATCAAAGTGGTCTTTTTTAGAAAGGTTTCATTCTTTTCACAGACTCTGTGCAAGAGTGTCCCCGCAACTGTCATGGAAACGGAGAGTGTGTGTCAGGAGTATGTCATTGTTTCCCGGGGTTCCATGGCATGGACTGCTCGAAAGGTAAGAGACACTCCAATTACACCCCGAACTCGGTCGTACAGCAAGAGAGACAGCTTGAGGAAAAAATAGCGAGAGAGAGAGAGAAGTGAGAACAATTTTTACTTCCCTGTCACTCATACTAGAGAAATGGAGAATGATCCATTGAATTCGTATTTAAAAGTGTAGTTCACCCAAAAATGATCATTTTGTCATCTTTTATCCACCTCATGTCGTTCCAAACCTGTGTGACATTCTTCTTTAGAAAAACAGCTATGGAGCACATTTATGAAGTCATTTTGGAACTTGACAGCTCAGACCTTGAAACGAATGACTGAAATTAACTGCAACAACTCACCATTATTCCACAAAAGAAAGTCATTCAAATTTACAATAACATGAGGATGAGTAAATAATGACATCATTTTCATTTTTGGGTAAACTGTGCTTGGAAACGGTGGATTAGCCTTAGCATTAGAGATAAGAGGTCGACCGATTCATCGGTTTTGCCGATTATTCGGCACCGATAGTTGATTGGCGGAACTATCGATTATCGGAAAAAATCAATTCCGATAGTTTTCCGGGTTGTGTCCGTTGCTGGAGTGGCCGAGAAGGGTCCGCTGCCATTATACAGTATGAGAGCAGCCTCTAGAGGCGGAAATCACTAACAGCACGTGTTGTGTTTTGACACGTGACACTGCGCGCTCTGAGCGGGAAACTTCAAACTCAAAAGAAAATCCTGCCGCGGAACAGAGCGCCATTCACATAGTTTTCCATTAAATTACATTATATTTGTCCCAAATCATTGTTAATGCGCAAGCGCTCCTAAAAAGAAAAATAAGCGTAGCTGCATCGCTGCGCTTGTGTCCAGTGTGTGACTTGCGTATTTTTTTTAAAATTTTGATTGTAAAAGAGTACACATACAATATCAATAACATATGCATGTAATTTTTTTTTAAAATGAAGTTTTTATTGGATTTCTTTATACATAAAACATACCAGTACAATTTTTTTTTTGTAAATTTCAAAAAATAAATAAATACACTGTATACAAAACAAAACAAACAAAAGTAATTATCATAAATAATAATAATAATTATAGAAATGACACTTAAATGCACAACAGGGTAATCAAGTCACACTTCAAAGGATGACTGATACTAGATCCATGCCATTCCATTCACTTTAGCTAACATTTTTTCATATGATACATTCTCTATCATAGATTCAATCCACATTTTAAGTGAAGGACATTGAATATCTTTCCAAAATCTAAGTATCAGTCGTACTGCCATGATTACACCGACAGTAACAAGGGAAAACTCGTTATTTTTAATCTGAGGAATCTCCGATTTATCTCCTAAAAGACAAATCCTTGATGAAAATGGAAGGTTAAATCCCAAACTTCTTCCAAGATATTTCAACACAATTTCCCAAAAAGGTTGAATCTTTGAACATTGCCAGAGAGCATGAATGTATGTGCCAATTTCTTGTTTACATTTCCAGCATTTATTATCAATCAGACAACCCATTCTAAAAAGTCGCAGTGTCTGAAAGCTACTCAGTAACATGTTGTTTATTGTACATTTGCAATCGTGCAGATATTCGGAAAAACAGGACTCTTGCTTGTGCGATAAGCTAAGTCCTATATCACAGGCATATTTTATAAAACCAGAAACTCATTAAATGGCTTTTTTTTTATCATTGTGATGACATTTCTGCCCCACTATGTGTGACAGCAGTGAGATGGGAGAGAACGCTCAAAAACTTTAGATCACATAATTTAGTTGAACATTAAATTAACAGTAAAGAAATGAGGCGTGAACTAGAGGTCGACTGATGTATCGGTTTTGCCGATTAATCGGCACAGATAGTTGATTGCTGGAACTATCGGCAAAGATCCATGCCGATAGTTTTCCGGGTTGTGTCCGTTGCTGGAGTGGCCGAGAAGGGTCCGCTGCCATTATACAGTATGAGAGCAGCCTCTAGAGGCGGAAATCACTAACAGCACGTGTTGTGTTTTGACACGTGACACTGTGCGCTCTGAGCGGGAAACTTCAAACTCAAAAGAAAATCCTGCCGCGGAACAGAGCGCCATTCACATAGTTTTCCATTAAATTACATTATATTTGTCCCAAATCATTGTTAATGTGCGTAATGACTTCACCCTAGGCTATGAATTATGAATTATGTTATCGCATTTGCGACTGAAAACTACTGCGTGCGACTATGAAAACATATTTAGGAGCACCAGTGCAACTGACCAGATCTTAATCATATTTGTGATTGTGATCGCTGAGGGGAGCTTCAAAGTAAATTAGTAAACTATTAAATAAATTTAATCAATATAATAATTAATATTAATATGTTTATTCATTTACAAAGTATGGGTCAGTACTGCTACTGCTTTTTTAAAAATAGTAAAGCTCTGTTTTAGTTTTTGTTTACCATTTTAAAAACTATTGGTTGATTAATCGGTATCTGCCAGTGTGGTCCAACCTAGCTATCGTATCGGTAAAATCCACTATCGGTCGACCTCTATTAGAGACATATTGAGCTATAGTGCTTATGCTGGAGACTGAGGTTCTCTGTCCTTTTCTCATCCCCATCAATCTTCTCACCGTCATTTATTGTTATCTCTGTACTTTGTCTGTCAATAAAATGCAAAAAAAAAGAAGCAACATAAAGCATGCATACTGAGGTCCAGACAGACATAAAGAAAAGAAAAGCATGCAAAAACACATGCAAAAGGGAACAGCACTAAATTGTTGCCAGAATGGCACCAGCAGTGGGATTTAAAGAGCTGAACACATCAAAGATGTGTGTTAATCTCAGCGGTCCCAATGCCTCTAGACACTCAACAGCCTTGGGTTTAGCCCAAGAGTCCAGACACCCTCAAGATGAGTGTGTATTATGGGTGTGTGTTTTTGACTTAACTATACGTTTTGGGACTACCTTGATTAAATAATTCCCAACTTAATTTATGGACCATCGTCAGAAGGAAAAATGGTTTATAAATAGACTAAATAACATCTTTATTCAACTCCAAAACTGACAAAAGTTTAAGAGGTAAGAGATAGTCTGTAGTAGTTATAATTAGCTGAGAACGACAGATGTCAATGTGAAGTCCCCATTTAGATTGCTGGGTAAGTGTGTGTGTGTGTCCTCAATAGCCCCCCAAAAAATAAATTTGCACAGTTTGCATACTTTCCTATTGAGAAGGTGCTTTACTGTAGTTCTATGACTCATCAAGAAACTAAGTTCTATGTGTTAGTGGAGGTCTCTCTCTCTCTCTCTCTTTCTCTCTCTTTCCGAGGCATAAGGATGACGAATGGCAGTTCCTACAGCCCAATATCTCCCATTGTTCACCTGGGAAGCTAATGATTAATAGTTTTGTTACTGCAATGTTAAATTACATTTTCTTTCATTACAGTTTTCTCCAACCTATCACAGCTGTCCACTCCCTCTGCTACTGCTGACCCTCTGTGTGTGTGTGTGTGTGTGTGTGTGTGTGTGTGTGTGTGTGTGTGTGTGTGTGTGTGTGTGTGTGTGCATTAATATCTTTACAATGACTGAGCCTTGAGACTCTCTCATTGCAGAAATCACCTCAGGAAGTCTTTTTAGACTGCTAGTTACTAGACATCATTCATGAGGACTTAGAGAGAGTGCTTCTTGGTAATGTAGTTGAAAAAGTCGAGGTTCGGGTTTAGATGCAGACATAGTCTGTTCTTATCAGGTGTGAACAGAACCTGATTTTTTTTTTTTTTTTTTCATGTATCATGGTAGGTATTATTATGTTTTTTGGATATGTACCATGGTATTGCCATGTTTTTGGACATGTAACATGCTATTACAATGTTTTCAGACATGTAGAGTACCATGGTATTATTATGTATTTGGACATGAATAACTATGGTAAAAATAAAAATGGTATCACCATTTTTTGGACATGTACAATATCATGATATTATGATTTAAGACATGTATTATGATATTATCATGTTTTAAGGACATGCACCATGGTATTATTGTTGTTTTTGGGACATGTACAAGTAGTTTTGTGGTATTTTTGGAGTAAACATTGAAATACCATACATCCCATAATATATGAATATGGTAACCCCCCCCCCCCCCCTTATTTGTAAGTCATATGGATACAAGTAGCTGCTAAATTAATACATCTTACAACTATAATTTAATTTTGCAATCAAACAAAAGTCAGAATAAGATAAAATTCTACCAAACTGATTGTAGTTGAAAGTGAGTTTGGTGCCTAAAGCTTAAGTTTGGTTTATTAAAAATTGGTTAATATTTTTTTTTTACATCATGTTCTCAGTGTGAGCCTTTTCTGAACACATTGTTGTCAGATGTGTGCTCTTTCCCTGTATCACACCATTCAGAGACACATCTATGACCACAACTGCCAGCTTTTTTCTCAATCTCTTCGTAAACTTACACAGATTCTTTGTAAACATACTGAAAATCTCTTTAGAGACAAAACATTGCAAAAGAGATCATTAAGAAAGCGCCAGATGTCACTCATATCAAATCATTCTCTGTTCTCTTTCTGTTTCTTCCCAAGCGGCGTGTCCAGTCCTATGCAGTGGAAACGGTCAGTATGACAAGGGATCGTGTATCTGCTATAGTGGATGGAAGGGTCCGGAATGCGATGTTCCCATCAGCCAGTGCATCGACCCCCAGTGTGGCAGTCATGGCACGTGCACAGAGGGCACATGTGTTTGTTCTCTGGGCTACAAAGGAGAGAATTGCGCTGAGGGTATGCGTATGTGTGTGTGTGTGCGTGCGTGATAATGTAGCTTTGTATAGATGTTGTTTCTTTCTCAATGGCTTAATAATACCCTCTATGGCTGTAATAGCTGTATTCTGTCCATGTGGCTACTTGAAAAGGGAAACACACATTTTCACATATTCAAACAGTCATCTTTGGCTGTTTCCCCAGATTCACTGGTAGGTCTTAATGGGCTCCCACAAAAAATACCTCACAGAGATGAGTAAAAGCTGGAAAATATATTGATCTGGGTGGTGAGAACAATCATTTCAGTCTTGATTCTTTGTGTGTGTGTGTGTGTGTGTTCTGTAAAGTTCAGTGGCTTTTGGGTAGGACAGTGAGTGACAATAAGAGAGAGAGGAAAATTAGAAGTCCCATGAGTCTAAAAATGGAAAGGGAAGAGAAAGAAAAAGGTAGTGACAGAAGAAAAAAGCTGAGGTACTGTATAAGAGGACAAAAGGAGAGGCTGGGATGAAAACAGCTAACAAACATAGAAATAGGTTGATGGAAAACAGAGTTTCAGAAAGTCTTTGCTGCTCATTACAGAGAGACAGTGATGGCAGCTAAACAAACAGAACAATAGAAGCCTTGCATATTAATGCTTTCTAATTCTCATTCTCTAAATCCCTAATTCTTTATCAACAGTCTGGCATCAAGTCCCAAATTAAAGTGTTTAGAGGGGGATTGAAGATTTTTAAATGAATTATTCACCTAAAAATGAAAAGTCTGTCATTGTTTACAAATACACACATATTTTTTGTGTCCATGTAACACAAAAGGAAATATTTAGGAAATATGTATTTCTTTTCAATAAAGTGAAAGCATATAACCCACAAGAGGTCATGAGGCACCATGAATAATGACAAAATTAACAATTTCTTTAGATGTGTATGTCAGTCAGGTTTTGCATTTTGAGGTGCAAATGTATATAAATAACAGGACCATGATATTTCCAATGAGGATATTAATGTCTAAATGAAAATCTTAAAATGCAAAAAGGTTTGTGTCACGGCTAGGTTTAGATTATAGGAAATGTCATTAACTCGATAAGAAATAAGCAACAAATGTATGTGTATGAAAAGAGAGAGAGAGTGTGTTTTAGTGGGGCATGAGGAACTTGAGGTGTTGCAGATCACAAGGTCAGCACTTTTTTTTTCCGGCCATTCTAAGATTTCTCAAATTAGATATTCATCACAGCAGAGTCACTCAAACAATTTACCTGAAGTGCCGGTGACACAGAAATCGATATCCATGATGTGCAGTTTCTGCAGCATAAACATTTGGCATGAATGGCTTTATGTGCGTGAGAGGAAAGGAGCAGCACTTCTGTCAGCCGAGGGGGGCTGAGACAGGGGTGTCACGCAGGGCACCTCAGGGCCGAGTAATTTGTCAAATGGCTTTCTCACACTTTTCATGGCCAGATCTCTTCTTTCGCTCAGCAGTCAATATCAATTTTTTGAGGCACTCCGGATGGAACATGTGAGAGACAGGGTTAAAGTCAAAAAGAGAGAGGAAGGGAGAGGAAGAAAGACAGACGGAGATACTGAGAAAGGGAGGGGTTGAGAGGTGAGTGTTAAAGGCTCTAGACGGGAAACTGCCATTCTCACAATTAAGGTGTGGGATATTGATTTTTCATGCTTAGATGAAAGACGTAGTATGTGCTTGTGCATGCTTTCTTCAAAATCCCAGAAAGCCCAGTTATGTGTGATTATACATCCCTTTATACTTTGAATGTTCTCAATATCTAAAGATATACAGTGAGGCTAATAGTAATTTGGTAACTGGTCTAATAATTAATTAAATATGTAAATAAATGGGAAAACAGGACATTGATTATTAAAGTTGTAGTTTCTGGCTTTTACATCACATTTACTAACTTTTAGGCTAGTGTAGTAGTGTAACCCTAAAATTCTAAATTGAATTTTTAGCACACAAATTAATTTAAAATGTACAATCTTTCCTTCTCCTATGACCCATCTTGCACTCACTAATTTTGTCCAGTCAAATGCTGCATAGAATAAACAATGTCCGTCCTGCTGATACCACTTTTGACTAGAAATAGCAAGTCGAAAATTCATGATCATGACTGTGACATAAATTAAAGTCATGAGCTGCATCCGAAATCAAATACTTCCCGACTATAGTATATGAAAAACAGTATGCCAAAAGAGTAGTATGTCCAAATTCATACTATTCAAAAAACAGTAATCTACTACTGCCTGGATTGTGAATTGCGCAGTTGATGGACACTTTACTATCCCATGAGGCCACGGGAGAGGATTTATGGCAGTGAACTTGTAAGTCACATGACAGTAACAACATGGCGGATGTAGTACATCTGAATTTCATTCATATTAACATATTCATAGTATATAGAACATACTTTTTAATGGTCTCAAAGTAAGTTCAAATTCAAATGTAGTACCCTGACTCAGTACTGTATGTACTCAGACAGTATGCGATTTCGGATGCACCGTTGACCTTTAAAAACAGGGGCAAGCCCTTCAATATGCCCCAACCCAACTTCCATTTTCAATAAATATTATGTCAACACAAAAACTCAGAAAACTGAGTTTATAAAGCAGTATCATTGGGTCTTTTATCTTTCTGACTGATGAAGACTCAGTCATGACTCTCACCTTTTGTACACAGTTGACTGCCTGGATCCAACCTGCTCAAATAATGGCATCTGTGTGAATGGGGAGTGCCACTGTAAACCAGGCTGGGGTGGACCAAGCTGTGAGCTGCCCAGAGCACAATGCCCAGATCAGTGCCACGGTCATGGTGCTTTTATTCCAGACACAGGCATCTGTAGCTGTGACCCCAATTGGATGGGCCCTGATTGTTCTGTCGGTCAGTCTGCATGTTTGATTGGATCTCAGTAATACAAATGTTTCATTTAATTATACCTGATTTCTAATGTATGATATGTAAATAGTGATTTACTGCTGCATCCTTTTCTCATCAGAGGTTTGCTCAATTGACTGCGGGACACATGGCGTATGCATGGGTGGCTCGTGCCGTTGCGAGGAGGGCTGGACGGGTGCAGCGTGTGACCAGCGTGTGTGTAACCCACTCTGTGTGAAGCATGGCACCTGTAAAGATGGGAAGTGCGAGTGTGAACAGGGCTGGAACGGAGAACATTGCACCATCGGTAGGCATGCACCCACCCCTGACCCAGGCACAGACTTTTTCCTGCTCCCTATACTCACCAGACACAACAGCACTGTATCTGCTCTGCCTCTATTGCTTTCATGAACATTATATAGAGTCCCTCCTTTTTTCTGTACTTGAAGCTTAACATGAGAGGGACCTGTTTTTGGAACATCCTTGTTGGTCCTGGGGCAACAATATTATTAACCAGTCAGATTTTAGGGAAAGGGTTAGAGCTGGGTTTAGGGTCTAGAACAGTTTTATTATTATTGCTCTCTTATTTTGGGCCTAAATTATGGTTTGTGCCAGGGGTGTCCAAACTCAGTCCTGGAGGGCCACTGTCCTGCAGAGTTCGGCTCCAACTTACCTCAACACTGCTGCCTGAAAGTTTCTAGTATGCCTATTAAAACCTTGATTAGCTGGTTCAGGTGTATTTAATTGGGATTGGAGGTCAACTCTACAGGACAGTGGCCCCCGAGGAGCAGGATTGGACACCCCTGGTTTGGGCAATGGCTTCTTAAGGACCAGCAAAGGATGATGATCCAAGAACATGACCTACATGCATGCAGCTCAGGGATTTAGGAGAACTCCAGGAGAGGTTTATACTGGTGGTTCTCGTGATTTTTCTCTTGACTGATCCATCAGGATGGGATATGCAGTACAAGACTCTAAAACCAATAATATTAAGGCCTTTTCCCAAATGCTGCCCAAAATGCTGTCCACAATTCGGTAATATAAATCCAGAGGGATTGTATTCTGCTGTAGAGTCCACAAAAATGTGCATCAATACATGCTGTAGCGGCAAAAAAGAGGGCCCTCATGAGCACCCATCTAAATGCTAAAAATTAAGAAATGGGATACCCTACGGCCTTCCAGCAGAGTTTAATTCTAAGCCTTCCAGGCAGATGTGTTGGAGCTAAACTCCGTAGGAAGATTACCCTTCCAGAGCAGGATTGAACACTCCTTCCCTACATTCTTGTGAAAACGAAAGAAACATTCAAGTGACAGCCATTGCATGACTGCAAGGACAAATCAAGTGCATCATTTGACCCAAATCATTGTCAACTTCAAAAATGTATAAGATTTTTTCAAAATTTCTAATTAAAACAATAGAATAAGAACAAGTAGAATAAGAAAAGTTGCCAATTAAATGAAATCAACATCAACAAAATAAATTTGCACTACAGAGGTGGCACAGAAGAACACACAAGTGGCTTGTAGGTATATTTACAGACGTTTAATGAGACTCAGAGGTTGGATGAGTGCAATTAAATTCATAAATTCATGTTGAGATTAATGTTTTAAATATAAAATTTGGAATATTGAAATATTAAATGATTTAAATAACTAAAATTATATTTTAAAAATGAAACTAAAACTGCCAGTAGGTGACAGCAAGTCACTGATTTTATCACTGAATCATTCATTCAATTGATTCATTCGAACAGCAGATTCAGGAACGAAGCAAGTGACTGTCTTTATGAATGGGTAATTTAATCATTGACATGCACATTCATTCATAAATGAAACATCACTGTGTTTGTTTGGAGATGCGCAGCGGCTCAGCTATGACTTTGTTTGAAACTATTTTTGTTGACAAATAGAGCAAAATCAGGCGTTGTAGTCAGTTCATGTAAATCACTTAATATTAACTTCTTGTTTATTGAACTGTTGTAGTAAATTAATATCATATTTGTAAACTCCTTTAATAATCATTCAAAGCTGCCACTCACCTTAGTTCATCGCGATCTCACAAAGTTCCTTTATAGTCCACAAAGCTCTCTACACTGATTTACATTGTGTTTACACGTTGCTTGTTATAATGAGGTGAGTGGTTCAAGGAATCAACAAATATGTCTGTGATACATTACTTAATGCTGTAAAATAACGTTGTGAGTAGAAAACTTTGAAGCTCCCCTGAGGTCAAACACAAATATGCTGATCGGGGCAGTCGCACTGGAGCTCCTAAATACTTTCATTGTCGCACGCAGTAGTAGAATGTTCCTCTGTCTGGTGTTGGACTGAGAACAGACTTAGTTGAGTTTGATCATGCCTCACACAGCAGAGGCAGATATGTGGGCTGTTGGGTAATGAACAGTCCTTGCGGAGTAATAGCGACTTATGAAAGGTATAGGCGTCTTCACCTTGATAAGTCACACCTTTCTTTCTCTCAAAAATAGACTCAAAAGTCAGAGTTTTCCTTTCTCTTATCATCTGTGGATGTGTGTGTGTGCATGTTTGTCTGTCACTCCAAAGATGACATGAGCGACAAAGACTGAAAGTGCTTTGCCTTTAATCCTTCTCCCCATTGTACGCCACAACAGGAAGTCTGTCTGCTTATTGTCATCAAACTCTTTCTGTAGGCTAAAAAAGCCTTGTAAATGGCTTCCATCTTCAGTTTCCATTTTTATTTCTCAGAATTCCTCTGTTTTTAACTAATTCAAATGCAACACATGTATTCATTTGTCTTCTTGTTATGACACATTTTTGTTCCCTCCGAATGTCCTCTCTGATGCAGACTTTTGGGATGGGAGTATTGAAGGTATTGTACCTCGTCGTACTGTGACTAGTGCTAGCTGCACTTTAGTCTGGTAGTGAGCAACCCCCCCTGCCTCTGATAGCTTGGCTGCATAACGACTGTGTGCTTTTTTTTGTAGAGTAGCCGTGGTGGAGTAGAATGTCATGTCGAGTAGGTTCATAATACTAGTCTGTGTTCTTCAGCGTGTGTGTTTTTATTCTTGTTGTCAGATGCTAATAGTATAGCTGTAATCATCTGTTTTGCACCTTGTTGCTTTTTAAATGTCCCTCTCTAACAGCATTAACTGAGCTACGAAAGTCTCCAATCTGTCTTGAGCCACTTATGACATTTCAATTATTCAGAATGTGGGGTAATACTATACATTAGAGCAGAGGTGTCAAACTCAATTCCTGGAGGGCCAGAGCCGTGCAGATATTAGATTCAACCCTAAGTAAACACACCTGATCCAACCAATCAAGTCCTTATTTGAACACATGGTATGTGTGTTGGAGCAGGGTTGGAACAAAACTCTGCAGGGCTCCGGCCCTCCAGGAATTGAGTTTGACACCCCTGCATTAGATTGTCCATGTTAGTAGTCAGTAAGCAGACATCTTAAAAGGGTCATAGGGTGCTACATGCACTTTTACAAGTTGTTTGAACTGAAATGTGTGTTGACAGTGTGTGTACACAACCACCCTATAATGATAAAAATCCACCCGGTGTTTTTTTTTAAATCTCGTTAAATCTTTACCCCTTTCTCAAATCGAGCCGATCTCAGATGCCTGTCTGTGTGAGTCAGCAGAGCTCATTAACATTTAAAGGGAAATGCTACAAAAACGGCTTGATCTGAAAAAAGCTGTTTTTGACAGGGTAAAAAAAGGTGTTTTTACACTACCATTGAGAAATTTTAACCAAACTATGTACCAGACTTTTCATTAAGACCCTAAAGAATCATATCAACTTGTAGAAAATGGGCATCATATGACCCCTTTAAATGTCTACCATGACTTATCCCCAGTAAGCTGGGGATAAATGTTTTGCTCAAGTTGATGATGCTCCGGCCCTCCAGGAATTGAGTTTGACACCCCTGCATTAGATTGTCCATGTTAGTAGTCAGTAAGCAGACATCTTAAAAGGGTCATAGGGTGCTACATGCACTTTTACAAGTTGTTTGAACTGAAATGTGTGTTGACAGTGTGTGTACACAACCACCCTATAATGATAAAAATCCACCCGGTGTTTTTTTTTTAAATCTCGTTAAATCTTTACCCCTTTCTCAAATCGAGCCGATCTCAGATGCCTGTCTGTGTGAGTCAGCAGAGCTCATTAACATTTAAAGGGAAATGCTACAAAAACGGCTTGATCTGAAAAAAGCTGTTTTTGACAGGGTAAAAAAAGGTGTTTTTACACTACCATTGAGAAATTTTAACCAAACTATGTACCAGACTTTTCATTAAGACCCTAAAGAATCATATCAACTTGTAGAAAATGGGCATCATATGACCCCTTTAAATGTCTACCATGACTTATCCCCAGTAAGCTGGGGATAAATGTTTTGCTCAAGTTGATGATTGAGTTAAAGCGCAATTCATGACATATAATAATAAATCTCAATGCCAATGCAACCGGTTCTGCTCGACCAACTCTGAGCAGGGCTCAAACCGGGAGCAGCCAGCATTGGGAGGCAGGCACACTAACAAGGATGCTGAAGACTGAAATCTCTAGTGTCAGCTGCTAGTGCCTCTTGAGGGCAAGGGGAGTGATATTTACCTGCACAACTCCCCCTAGCTGGTCCAAATCATCATGGTACAGCTCAGTGTGTCTACTGTACTTAGGACTTTATGAATCCTACTTGGCAATGGCTTGGCTCATTAATGTTAACTTGGTAATTGGATGGTAATCTTGCAATGTCAGCATGACTCGAAGATTCATGAGCCAAGTGATTGCCATGTTGTCACAACCAGCCAGTCTTACAGGTCTGTGAGGTCTGCCAATCAAGACGGAGCAAGAGTTTGAAAAGAATCTTGCAGAGCCAGTTAGATCTTATAACGTGTTTTTAACTAGCTAACTGAAAATAACACATTTGGTTTAATGACATTTCAAGTTAATTCTGTTGTGTCCTCCTGAGTAATAAGCTTTGTTACCACCGCTGTAATGCAGGAACCTTAACTATGCACAACAGCACCACACTTTTGCAATGCATTGGCTGAGCAAATGTGTTTGCATACTTGAGTGTTTGTTTATGAGTCTTACAGTAACCTAAAAGTCTTTCTTTTGATAGGTAGGATTTATTTCTGCATCTTTGAAGCAATGATGCTATACAATGGCACCTTAAACGTATTAAAGGACCAGTCTCTCTGGAGTAACATGAGGTTAAGAGCCTTGCTCAAGAGTACAATAGTGATGGATTCTTGAGGCAGTTGGAACCGACAAACTTCGAGTTAATAGACTTGAGCTGGAACCACTACAGTACACCCCCCCCCCATTCCCTCCAACTTTTAAAGGAACAGAGCTGGGTCAACTACATGACTCTATGCATAAAGGGAATGCTTGCATTTAAGAAGACTGCAGTTTCAACTAGAGGCAGAGCAGCACACACCAGGACACACCAGCTCCTAGCAGTCTGTTTGAGTCTGCCTTTATGTTTGCACAGAACAGCGACGCAGGAGGCAAGTCGTCCTACACTTCCATCAAGTCTGCTTCAGACAAAAGAACTAAATTACAGAGGACACTGCGGAGTGGAGACAAAGATCAAGTAGATTTTGCTCTACCTGAGGGATATAGATCACTACTGCGAGTAAAGGGATCGGGAGGGTGTGGATCCTAAGATAAATGTGAAATTTCATGAGCTGTTGGTGCAGAGTGGGTCAGGAGCAGTGAGCAACGTTTTAACTGTGCATATTTCAGCACACAGGGTGCAGGACCAAAGGAGGCATGGTAATGACTTTGCCTCAGTGCCTGCCTGAGTTCCAACTCATAGGATGAATACTAATGGAGGGGCAGGAGTGTGTGTGCTTTTCTGAGAAGGGGAGTGCGGTGTGTTTGCAGGGAGAGCAGGATAACAAGGAGTTTAACCGCAGGGCCCAAAGTGATCACCTGAGTGTGCATGCATCATTGGACAGGAGCAAGTCTGGCACAAGAGCTAGTGACAATAGTATATATAGTTTATATTCACATCTCTAATTGGCCGAAATGATTGTAGATGAATGACCGCTGGAGGCATGGACTTTGTATGCTAGGGTATACTAAGTGGAAGTGAGTTGCACTTGATCAAACACATGATTGGCTCATGGGTGGAAACCATGCCCACCCTAGGTAAAGAAGCATTACATTTACCTGTACTTTACCAGTACATCTGGATATCCTTTTAAGGAATGACAGTTGTTAACGCTGCAGTGCACATTTCTGCTTAATTTGTCAAACCAAACAGAAATTGCAGAAAAATTTTAACTATTAAAATGAATGTTTCCAAACAGGTTTTGCAAACACTTTAGGCCTCTGTGAGAACTTGTTCAGCGTGCACAGGACATTACCCTATCACTGCTGAAGTTCAGAAACCATTTGTGTGAAAATTTTCAACTATTCCCATGCTGAAGTTTAGGATGTTATTTGACTTTGTAGTAATACATGGAACACTATAGGCAAGGAAAATCCAGACAGGACGTTTTATGCAGTAGGTGCTCACTCCCTGTGGGACTTTATCTGTCTCTTCCTAAGGTGAATTTGGAGGATTTATGAATCTAACCTTTATTTTATGACCTTTAAAGTGGACGGGATAGTTGGTGGAGGACTGGATTTCTCTTCCACACGTTCTTTCTCCTCCGTAATATTCCTTCCATCCTTTAAGACATTTATTTCTCCTTTTTCTTTCTTTCTTTGCCTGTTCTTTTCTTTTGCAGTTTTTTCCCTTTCTACCAATCTATATGTCTCTTTCTATCCATCTCTCCATCCATCATCCACTGACTGTTGCTATGCAGCATGCTTCTTTCCCCATCTCACCTTTGTGTACCTCTCTCATACCGTGTGTGCTGACCCATAACTCAAGGCAATCTCAGCTCCTTTTTAAGTAGATTACAATAGAGTCAACCCACATTACTTTAGCCAGGTGGCTTAATAGTTTGTGAAATCCCACTTTATTCTAGTTAGGTTTCTGATAATCGACTGGCCTTTGGCATGAAAGAGGGGCCCTGCTCAGTGCTGCCCAATGAGGAAGATCAATGGTCGCCATAGATTTTGCTGTCCTGGTGTTTCATATGTATTTGCCTGCTTAAAATGGCAGCTCCATTTAAAAGGCAATCCTTGCTAAGTGACTTTCCTCTCAGCTCAATATTGAGTGACAGTCGATGCATAGCAGCCTGTTAATGTGGCATCCCAAGGACCCCAGACATTGAGAATTACATTAATTAAAGCAAAATTTGATTTGAGTCACAATGAATGAATGGGTTCCAGTGCATGCTGGGTTTTCACACTCCTCTGGTCGAGGCCATTTCATTTCACTCATCACAAATCGTCTGAAGTGTCACCTGCGCTTGGTCAGCTGCCAATAATGCTATATAGCTTTGTGATGAAGGAAACTGGCTCCGTCCAAAAGGCTGTATTTCCAGGGTAACCATAAGCGGAGGCTGTGACACACTAACAGAAGTGTTTAATGTTAGAGATTGAACTCTGGGGCACCAGCAATGGTTTCTGATGACACAGTGTGAGGTCGCAGAGTGGTTTTTGTTTTACAGCGAGGTAAGAGATGATGCCCACGGCAGTGCTGAGAATTTTAGAACGCATGTTTTATTTACACAAAACTCCTGATGACTCAGAAATGTCAGGTCACGTCTCTAGGGTGGACTGGTGTGACTAAAGGAGAATAGTGCTTAGCCTTTTCATTTCTCTTTGTGTTTTTTCATCTCAGTCTCTGCCTCTACCAGAGAGAGCTTCCTTAAAACATTCACATCAATCCACGCTCTTCTCAAAACTGTTGTGACAAGATTGTTTTCTGCCTTTTGTCTTTTATGAAGGCTGTTTATCCCATAACCGCATACATTAAACACCCACACGCATGCCATACTTCACTCCAAAATCTTGATATATTTATCAAAGCACTTTTTTTCTCTGTCTTGAAAATGTCTTTAGAATAAGAATAATTCTACGCCTTTATATTCTCCCACACTATGTTCTTATTCAAAAGTCTTTGGTTCTCACACACACATAGGTTCGTACCTCGTACTATAAAGGCATTCTAATCTGATCTGTAGATTCGGTCAGTCCTAACCACATTCTTACATGAGAGCATTGCTCTCTATCCAGACAAATCAAATCAGCTACTGTAAATGAACAGTCGGAGAGTGTATGTGCTCTTTACAAATATCCCCTCCTGAATGGATGAGTTCTGATAAATTAATTTGCTACCAACAGCGGCTATCAGTGGAGACTACCGAAGATAATTTAATTGCTCTCAGAGTTTGAACTGATTTGAGGTGTGAATAGTAATGCTTTTCATATACAGTGGGGCAAAAAAGTATTTAGTCAGCCACCAATTGTGCAAGTTCTCCCACTTAAAAAGATGAGAGAGGCCTGTAATTTTCATCATAGGTATACCTCAACTATGAGAGACAAAATGAGAAAAAAAATCCAGAAAATCACATTGTAGGATTTTTAAAGAATTAATTGGTAAAGTCCTCGGTAAAATAAGTATTTGGTCACCTACAAACAAGCAAGATTTCTGGCCCTCACAGACCTGTAACTTCTTCTTTAAGAGGCTCCTCTGTCCTCCACTCATTACCTGTATTAATGGCATCTGTTTGAACTCATTATCAGTATAAAAGACACCTGTCCACAACCTCAAACAATTCAGACGGGCATTGAGCGCATTGGAGGCAGATATGTTTGTGTGTGAGCACTGATGCATGTCTGCCTGTAGTGTCACAGCCAAAAGTTTGAAAATCTAGATACGTATTAACAAAGGATGATTCTAATTTGCATTTCGTGTTCATTTGTGGCAGTCCATTTTGATTGTCTGGATAATGTCTGCAGTTTTTTGTTAATATGCTTTGTGTGCTGTCTCACAGCTGTTTGTATAATATTGCATTAAACAGGTGCAAACAATGGTCGTTTTTTAAATTGTTCTCATCGTCTAATTTTGTTTCAGTATAAATTCAAAAGTTGGGCTAATAAGCAACTGAACAAAAAGTTGATTGTCAAAATCGATGTCTGAAAATGTACAAAAATGTATACCAACATAACCTGGACACTAATAACTCTGGAAACTATTTCTAGCTTGTTTTCAAACTTTTGGTCACAATCATTGATAGTGCTCTGATGACTGGCGTGATGGATTTCAGCCTCTCTAAATCCATCTTCCTTCTCTTTCTGGCTCTTGCAGATGGCTGTCCGAATCGATGTAATGGAAATGGACAGTGTCTGCTGGGTCAAAACAGCTGGCACTGTGAGTGCAAGACTGGATGGAGAGGCAGCGGCTGCAATGTCGCCATGGAGACTTCATGTGCAGACAACAAAGACAATGAAGGAGGTGAGAGATCTTTTGTTTTATTGTATTTCATGCTCTAATGGGATGAGAGTGACTGTTTAGTACATTCAGTCGTTTGTGGTTCTGGAGGTTAATATGCAATTATAAAGCGATGTGGCAACTTTTTGTTTGTATCTATACCCTTTTTTCACAATTTGTGTAAATTTCATAGGAATAAGTTAACCTTTCTCTCAGAAAATAACTAGAGCTAGACTGTTGGCTTTTATCTGAAATGATGGATTTAAAAAAGCATGTCCGATGTTCTGTAGTAAGTGATTTAATTCAAAGCCTAAAGGTGATGGAAAGAAGAAAGCACTTTTCGATCTCTTTGGTAAATGAATACTGGAACAGAGACGAAATTTAAATCCAACATCGTTGCGTTCAAAATGTACAAGAACACTTTGATGAAACACCTCTTGTTTAACAGATGAAGAATGTTCCCTTTTTTTCGACAGAGAAGCAGATGAAGAGAGAAATCTTTTGCAGCCCTAGGCAGCTCTGATTGATTGTGCACCATCATAATATGACATTACTCATCACACCGCTGTTTCCTTTCTTCTAGATGGTCTGACTGACTGTATGGATCCAGACTGCTGTATCCAAAGTCCCTGCCAGAACAGTCCGCTTTGTAGAGGGTCCAGGGATCCCTTACAGGTCATTCAGCAGGCCCAGCACCCTGAGCAGAAAGTCTGCTCCTTCTATGACCGTGTCAAGATGCTAGTGGGCCGGGACAGCACGCATATAATCCCTGCAGACAATCCATTTAATGCAAGGTAACTTGCTTTACTGCGCACAACAACTTCCTACCTGCTGGGTTGGTAAATGTCATGTCTCTTGCATTGTACGGTAGAAGAAAAATGAAATATCCACTGAAGTGCAGACAACTTATGCTATATCTGTTGAGAGAAAATTTAGTGCTGGGATAGTTCTCATCTTTTTAAGTGGGAGAACTTGCACAATTGGTGGCTGACTAAATAATTTTTTTCCCCACTGTACTTCATCACCTCAGACGGGCATTGAGCGCATTGGAGGCAGATATGTTTGTGTGTGAGCACTGATGCATATCTGCCTGTAGTGTCACAGCCAAAAGTTTGATATAATCTAGATATGTATTAACAAAGGATGATTCTAATTTGCATTTCGTGTTCATTTGTGGCAGTCCATTTTGATTGTCTGGATAATGTCTGCAGTTTTTTGTTAATATGCTTTGTGTGCTGTCTCACAGCTGTTTGTATAATATTGCATTAAACAGGTGCAAACAATGGTCGTTTTTTAAATTGTTCTCATCGTCTAATTTTGTTTCAGTATAAATTCAAAAGTTGGGCTAATAAGCAACTGAACAAAAAGTTGATTGTCAAAATCGATGTCTGAAAATGTACAAAAATGTATACCAACATAACCTGGACACTAATAACTCTGGAAACTATTTCTAGCTTGTTTTCAAACTTTTGGTCACAATCATTGATAGTGCTCTGATGACTGGCGTGATGGATTTCAGCCTCTCTAAATCCATCTTCCTTCTCTTTCTGGCTCTTGCAGATGGCTGTCCGAATCGATGTAATGGAAATGGACAGTGTCTGCTGGGTCAAAACAGCTGGCACTGTGAGTGCAAGACTGGATGGAGAGGCAGCGGCTGCAATGTCGCCATGGAGACTTCATGTGCAGACAACAAAGACAATGAAGGAGGTGAGAGATCTTTTGTTTTATTGTATTTCATGCTCTAATGGGATGAGAGTGACTGTTTAGTACATTCAGTCGTTTGTGGTTCTGGAGGTTAATATGCAATTATAAAGCGATGTGGCAACTTTTTGTTTGTATCTATACCCTTTTTTCACAATTTGTGTAAATTTCATAGGAATAAGTTAACCTTTCTCTCAGAAAATAACTAGAGCTAGACTGTTGGCTTTTATCTGAAATGATGGATTTAAAAAAGCATGTCCGATGTTCTGTAGTAAGTGATTTAATTCAAAGCCTAAAGGTGATGGAAAGAAGAAAGCACTTTTCGATCTCTTTGGTAAATGAATACTGGAACAGAGACGAAATTTAAATCCAACATCGTTGCGTTCAAAATGTACAAGAACACTTTGATGAAACACCTCTTGTTTAACAGATGAAGAATGTTCCCTTTTTTTCGACAGAGAAGCAGATGAAGAGAGAAATCTTTTGCAGCCCTAGGCAGCTCTGATTGATTGTGCACCATCATAATATGACATTACTCATCACACCGCTGTTTCCTTTCTTCTAGATGGTCTGACTGACTGTATGGATCCAGACTGCTGTATCCAAAGTCCCTGCCAGAACAGTCCGCTTTGTAGAGGGTCCAGGGATCCCTTACAGGTCATTCAGCAGGCCCAGCACCCTGAGCAGAAAGTCTGCTCCTTCTATGACCGTGTCAAGATGCTAGTGGGCCGGGACAGCACGCATATAATCCCTGCAGACAATCCATTTAATGCAAGGTAACTTGCTTTACTGCGCACAACAACTTCCTACCTGCTGGGTTGGTAAATGTCATGTCTCTTGCATTGTACGGTAGAAGAAAAATGAAATATCCACTGAAGTGCAGACAACTTATGCTATATCTGTTGAGAGAAAATTTAGTGCTGGGATAGTTATTGTCAGTTCTGTGTTATTTTGTAACCCCTAAGCTATTTTTGAAGAACTGTATTGATTGTTGTCAGTGGTGCTACAACATCTTCCTGTCTCTTTCTACTGTATTTCTTGGAAAGACTGACAGATGTGTTGACTAACGGGAAATTTATGGGATTTTTTTGACAGCAGTTGTTGGATTGATGGTATCGCTTTGGAATTATTGGTTATCGAGCAGTCTTCTTGTTTGTTCTCTGTTCTCCAGTCTGGCATCACTGATCAGAGGTCAGGTGGTGACAACAGATGGAACCCCACTGGTGGGAGTTAATGTGTCGTTTGTGAAGTACCCGCAGTACGGCTACACCCTCACACGCCAGGATGGAACGTAAGTTTACCGTAGTACTCATCCCAACCAGGGTTGTGCGCAAATAATTTACTTGCTTTTTAAATTGTACTTCAACTGAGAAGTGAGGAAGCAAACTGAATGTCAAAATGCAATTTAAATTTGAATGTAACTCAATTTGTTATCTAGAAAAGCAGTTTGTAAAGTCAAACTTTGAATGTTGGCTTGACAGCCTTGTGTAAATGTTGTGAAAAAATGTTTTAAAATACTTAAGATTTCAAGGTTTATTGGATGGATGGACGGACGGACAGACAGGTGTCTTGTGGACATTTCAATTCAAATTCACACTCATGAACTGAAAGGAAGCCAATTCTTCAATTCTGAGTTTTGCCCAACCCTGGTACCTACACATCCAAGCCGATCATTCAAGCAACAAGCAACCCTTTCCCCTCTGAAACACTTTGATTATTTCTGCCGCCGAGCTTTATTTTGTGACTTACTTGTTTACATAAGCTTCTAGTGATTTAGAGAGCTACATGCTAACTGAACAAATCTTTATTAGATTCATTTAGAGCCGAGTAAACTCAGTCTTTCCATCGAAATGACTGCAATCTATCAAAACAATGAATTATCCCTCCCAGCGAAATGGCATTTTTAATGGTAAAAGCATTCAGAATGTAATGGTGCTATTAATAACGGAGAATAACACAAGTACATATTTGTTTTTGTTTTTGTTTTTTGCTGTCTGTTTGCCTTTCCCACTTCCTTTCGCTCTGTGTCATTAGATTTGACCTCATTGCCAATGGTGGAGCCTCTCTCACCCTCCGATTCGAGCGGGCTCCATTTTTGAGTCAAGAGCGCACAGTGTGGCTCCCATGGAACATTTTCTATGCCATGGACACTCTGATGTTGAAGACAGAAGAGAACACAATCCCGAGCTGTGACCTCAGCGGCTTTGTGAGGCCTGATCCTGTGGTGGTGGCCTCCCCCCTTTCCTCTTTCTTCAGTTCCAGGCCAGGAGAGAGGTCCATCATTCCAGAGACACAGGTGTGATGAGAGCCCCACTTCCTTGAAACCTTCATTACTGTAATTAGCTGATTAATGCGTTTTGTACTGATGGAATTCTTCAATTAGTCTTCACCCAAATCCCAAATATTGCTATTTTTTCACTTTATTCATGTTCCTTCACCACTCTCTCTGGTCATTAAATTAGTTGACAGGTTGTTAACCTGACAAAACTCACAGGTCATCCCTCATCAACCATTTCACTCTAATTATACTCTTTTTTTGCATTTCTCCTTCCTCTCAGTCTTTCTTCCACCCTCTGACCTTGCTAATCATTTCCTTTTCTTGTTTGAAAATACCATTTTCCTATGACATAAAAGTCATTCCTGTATCTGTCTGCCAGGTTCTGCATGAGCAGCTAGAGATTCCTGGCACCAGTCTGAAGCTCTGTCACCTGAGTTCACGGACCTCAGGTTACCACTCCTTGCTCAAGATTACCATGACTCAAGCCGTGGTGCCACTCAGCCTGGTCAAAGTCCATCTGATGGTTGCCGTGGAGGGCCATCTCTTCCAGAAGTGGTTCCACGCTTCACCCAACCTCGCCTACACCTTTATCTGGGACAAGACCGATGCATACGGTCAGCGTGTCTACGGCCTCTCTGATGCAGTGGGTAAGCACACATGATTGATTGTGACTGGATGCGTGGCTTATTTATTAGCACACATGCTCCAATGGTATTATCCCATTACATTTACTGTTCTTATGAAAATATAATTATTTTGACCTCCAAGCAAATATTTTATCAAAAAATATATTGGTTGATGTCTATGAGCACATGCTTACTGAAAAACATTCATATTCGGTAATTACTAGCACTTCTCGATGACGCGTTTTGACTGTGTCAGTGTCTATTTTCTGCTCACAATCTGAATAATCTACAACGGGAAAAAATGTCAGCTGTGTGGATGCTAGGGCTATCGATTTCTAGTTTTTAATCGATCTTTGTTTTGATGAACATATATCATTTACATGACAACAGCGTTTTGTGTGCAGACACGTAGTTTTTTACAATGTCATTTTGAAGCTCTTAAATGTGACACATCACTGTAGCCTCCTCAGTTCAAGCAGCACATGAACCAATTTTCTTCCTCTTTATTACTAGTTATAACGCAAAGTAAACATTAATGATCAGAAGGTTTGTTGAAAGAAACAGTTACTGAAATATTAATTCTAATTTAATCTCCAATTAGTGTTTCAAACATGGAAAGACATCAATAAAACAGCTTGTAAGCAATGTCACGTAATGTTACTACCCTTTCATGGGAACTTCGAACTGCGTCCTCTAGGGGTCGCTATGGGGAATTCCTCGTCGTGACCCGTGTCTGAAGCATACATTGAAAAAACACCAACTCGTTGGCCGGCGACAGCCATGACGTCACTATCGGTGTGACTATAGTATAACTAGGCGGCGGGAGCACACATCATTCTCTTCTTCGTCTTCATCGACTGTTTTGTTTGAAGCGTGCATTTCTGTGGTAAGAGCGATCTCTATTTATCTCATTATGGCGAGTACTAGCAAATCATTTAAGGATGTGTGCATCCTTGTTGACATTGTTTAACATCTGATGCCACACACAATCTATGCGTTGTTTGTTTGGGCAAAGAGCACGCACGCGATGTCTCCGAGGGGGCAATCGGCGTGCACGGCGAGCGATTTTTTTCCAAGGGTAAAAGCTCCACTCTCCTTTGTCTCTCTTTTCGAGGAAAGAGGGGCAGCCATCTGCTTCCCGCGATTCAGGACCCGCCGCTGCTGAGGCACGGAAGGGAATGAGCTCGTGGGGATCGCAGGTGGATCTGGCCGATGAGTTTGAAGGGGGATTTCCCTTTCACGATCATCGGCTGTGCACGAGAGTGAGCTGCTGGAGGATGATGTTATTTCATTAACATTGTCTGATTCAGGGGCCATTGCTCTGCTGGGATCAGCCCAGCAAAAGCAGGAAATAGCTGAGGAGGGCGAAGAAGCTGAGGCTGAGCCTTCCCAATCCTCCTGCCCTGCGTATGATGAGCTTTTGGAAATTATGGATCGCGCCAC